AAATGGATATGGAATTTTATTGGATGCTTTTTCTTCATCTGTTGAGGGTATCATGTTTTTTCTCCTTTAATATGTTAATTTGGGGAATTACATGTCTAGTTTTTTCCCTGCTAATCTTTTTTTCTAACAGCTTTACTGAGATATAATTCATGTACCATACAATTCACCCATTTAAAATGTACAATTCAGTGTTTTCTGTGGGTTGTCTCTTCACTTTGTTAATTGTTTCCTTTGCTGTGCAGAAGTTTTTTAGTTCGATGCAATCCCATTTGTCTGTATTTGCTTTTGTTGCCTGTGCTTTTGTGGTCGTATGCAAAAAATTATCACCCAGGTTAAAAAAAAAAAATTATAGCCATTGTAATGGGTGTGAAGTAGTATCTCATTGGGGTTTTAATTTGCATTTCACTCATGAATAATGATGTTGAGCATTTGCCATTTGTATAGAGTTTTTAAAATGTTAACCATCTTTGCAAGCTGGGATAAACTCAACTTGGCCATGAGGTATATTTTAAAAGAATTTTAGAAATCAATTTCTGGACCGGCCCGTGGCTCACTCGGTAGAGTGTGGTGCTGATAACACCAAGGCCACGGGTTCAGATCCCATATAGGGATGGCCGGTTAGCTCACTTGGGAGAGCATGGTGCTGACAACACCAAGTCAAGGGTTAAGATCCCCTTACCGGTCATCTTTAAAAAAAAAAAAGAAAAATCAATTTCCTAGTGCTTTATTAGGATTTTTTTCTTTGTATTCGTGAGATTGGCCTGTAATTGTCCTTTCTCAAACTATTCTTGGTCCTATTTTAGTATCAAGGTGTGTTGGCCAATCCACTTATGAGTTGTAGAATGTTCCTTCATTTTCTCCTCTTTGGAATAATTTTTGAAGATTTGGGCTTATCTCCTTTTTGAATGATTGGTAAAACTCATCTTTACACCTTTTTGGCCTGGTGTTTTTAGATGGGAATATTTTAATTGTTGAAATTAAAATATTAATCCTGTTAATATTAATTCTGGTTTTTTTTTTTTTTTTTTTTTTTTTTTTTTTTTTTTTTTTCCGTGTCCGGCAACGGATCGCAACCCTCAGTGTTGCCCCCGCACCGGACCGGGGACCGGCCACGGGATCGCAACCCTCGGTGTTGCTCCCGCACCTCGCTCAGTCAGCGAGCGGGAACCGGTCTGTATGTGGGATCCGAACCCTCGGGCGGGAGCGCCGCCTTGCTTCCCAAGCGGCGCACTGTAGCAGTGCGCCACCGGGCCGGCCCTAATTCTGTTTTTTTAAAGTTAATTTTTAGTAAGATTTTTTTGGTAGAAAGTAATCCATTTAATCTAAACTTTCTAATTTACTGGCATAAAGTTGATTTCTATATTATCTTATTTTTTAAAACTATTTTATCTGTACTTGTCTTTTTCATTCTTAGCATTATTTATTTATGCATTCTCTCAGTCTTGTAAAAATTTTGTCTATTTTTTCTTTAAATAACCAGTTTTTGATTAGGAGGATCCTCTCTGGGACTTTGTCTTGTTCTGAGACTTTCAGTCATTTCTGCCCTTTGTTATTTTCCTCTTTTTTTCAGCTTCTCAAATTGGACACTTAGCACATTAATTTTTATCTTTCTCTATTAAATGCATTCAAGGCTATAAATTTCCCTTCACATACCACTTTAGCTGCATCTTACAAAGTTTGATCTTTAGTAAATTCATTATTCCATTCTAAATATTTTGAAATTTTCATTATGATTTCTTTTTTGAGCCATGGATTATTTTATTTAGAACTGTTTTGGAATTTCCAAATATGTTGTCTAAGTTATATGTATATTTTTTCTTTTTTGTCTTTTTTTGTTTGTTTTGTTTCTTTTTTTAAGTTATATTTTTGATATAGATTTCTAAATTAATTGCATTGTAATCAGAGAACATGGTTACCCAATTCTTTACTAATGGAGTCTTTCTGTATGACTTATTTTGTGGTCAATTTTTATAAGTGAGTTCTTGAAGAAAGAGCTATTGAATGCAGGGATAAATATACATAGATATGATTTTAATCTTGTGTGTTTGCCTGTATGTATGTGTAGATGTATATACACACATACATATACATATGGACAGACACACATGCATACATGATTTTCTATCCTTATTAATATTTGGTTGACTTGATCTATCAATAATGAAGCAAGTATGTTAAAATTTCCACTAAATAGATTTTTTCCACTGCATAAAGAAATGTTTCTTTTTCCCTGTAGTTCTGTTAATTTTTGTTTGAACTATTTTGATCCTCTATTAATAGGGATATATAAGTTTAGAATTGTTACATCCTGCTGGAAATTGTTCTTATCATCATTATTAATGATTCTCTTAATCTATAACAATTTTTTTGTCTTAGATTCCCTCTGTAATAATACCAATAATTTCCTTACTAGTTTTTCTGTCATCACTGTTTCTTACAGTTTATTCTTTACACACATTATTATTCTTCAAAACAGTAAGTCTTTAACAAGTGTAAAAATAAGTCAGGTCACTTGATTCCCTATTGCCCATAGGGCAGTCTTCTACTGTTTCCTGTTTCTCACATACCCCCTCTTTTTGGCTATAGTAAGTTTCTCCCCTTCTCTGAGTACATATTGTGTTTGTCTTTGAGTCTTTGTTGTGGTCTTTCTGCTTCCATTCTGTCTATCTGTGCTCAGTGAACTCTGCCTCTTCCTCCCTACTCCCAGCTCAGGTGTTACCTTTGTAAAATTTTTCCTTACTCCCCCTCCCCCATAGAATTAGTCATTCCTCCATGTGTGTCATTTCTTTTTTATCATACTTCCTTTTTGTATAGTAGAAGTAAAATTTATATTCAGTGAAATGTACACATTTTAAGAGTACAGTTTGATAAATTTATACACCACTGTAAACAGCATCTCAATCAGAATATAAAACATTTTCATCAGTCCGGAAAATTATCTTGTGTCCACTGCTGGTCAGTCCCCATGCCCCATAGGTAACCTCTGTTTTGATTTCTATTATCATAGCTTAGTTTTGCCTGTTGTTGAACTATATGTAAATGGTCCCATACATTACAAACTCTTATGTCTGACTTCTCTTCCTTCACTCAACCATATCTGTATTCTTGAGTGTATCTGTGGTGCATTCTTTTTTATTGCTGAGCAGTCAGTCCATTGTATGAATACACCACAATGTCTTTATCCATCCTCCTGTTGATGGATATTTGGATTATTACCTGTTTCGGGCTATTATGAATAAAGCTGCTGTAAACATTATTTTAAAAGTCTTTGTGGACATGTTTTTCTTTTTATTTTATTTTTTTATTTTTTATTTACCTTCAAGTATGGCCCCTGACTGCTAGATTTTGTGTCATTCCCCCAGGTTAAAAGATCTGGTTTGGAGCCTCCAATTGACCAAGGTCATGTGTCTGGGCTCCAGCTGCTAAAGATGCCCTCTGATTTCCTTCAGCTCCCCACAAAAGGCAATTAATCACTATATTTTCTTTTCTCCAGTTACGTCACTTCTTTAACTTCCCGTTTTCATAAAATGCTGCCATCATTCTATCACTGGTAGCTGAACCTGGGTAACCTCTTTTCCTCCTTTCTCTTCCTCAGCTTCTGAGGCAATCAGTTACCCAGTTCTATGAGGATTTCATTAGTTGTTCATTCATTTGATGTTTTCCTTCACACCACTTTTTTTTCTTTTGTCTTTTTCCGTGTCCGGCAACGGATCGCAACCCTCAGTGTTGCCCCCGCACTGGACCGGGGACCGGCAACGGGATCGCAACCCTCGGTGTTGCTCCCACGCCTCGCTCAGCCAGTGAGGGGGAACCGGTCCGTATGTGGGATCCGAACCCTCGGGCGGTGGGCGGCCCGCGCCGCCGCGCTTCCCAAGCGGCGCACCATCCAGTGCGCCACTGGGCCGGCCCGTTTTTATTTTTCTTAAGTAAATATTGAGTAATGGAATGCTCAGTCATAGGGTAGATAGGTGTACATTTAACTTTATAAGAAACTGCCAATGGTTTTCCATATCTTTTCCTTACTTTTTAATAGTATTTGCCACAGCAAATTGTAATTATTGGTCTGTGTCTATCTCTTCCATGGAGCTGAAGACTAGGACATAGCCAATGGTTTTCTCAGTCCTTAATAAAGCTTTTTGCCTTAAATTCTCTCTAATATTAATATATTGAGTCCTTGAAAGAACTGTTGGATGCAGGGATATGTGTATGTGTATATACACACACATAATGTATACATAAATATACACGTGTATGGTAAAGCTCATTTATCGTGATGTTCACATTTTCAAAGCTAGGGTGTAGTTTATTCTCTGTATTTGCCCCAGTGCCTACTACAGTATCTGGCCAGTATTTGGTGCTCCATATATGTTGAGTAACTATAGTTCTTTATTTGTGTATTTGTATTACTTTTATGGCATTTATCACGTGCTATCTTGTTAGTTGTGTTCATCTTTTTTCTCTATGAGAATGCAATCTTCTTAATGAGTACGGACTTGTTTTATTTTTATTTGTATATCCCAGAATGTCTGTCCCATTGCTTTAAAGATTACTTGTTCTATATGAATGAATAAACCAGCCTGTCACCCAGGAAGTGAAGACCCTGGGACAGAAGAACGGGGGAAATTTGCCTTCTGTCTCTTCTGCTGGGGAAGGAAGAGAGAAAGAAAACCAGAAAGAGCTTCTGTGATATCCATTTTCCAAATTTTAGGTAGTGGGAAGGAAGCTCACTGAGACTTTTGGCCTAGGAAAAACATTTCATACCACTGTGCTTTGCCTAATTTGCCTCCATGCCAGTAATGTGTTGCAGCAGCAAGGGAGTTTTTATCTTTAGTAGGTGTGACTGGCCACAAAGCAGTGTATATGAATCAGTAGACAGTTTTCATTAGTGTTGTATCATATGTTGATACAAAATTAGGTTTTCACTTTACAGGATGTGTTGCTTGGGAAACAGGAAATAGATGCAGTATTTGAATGTTTGGCATTGTGTTCTTATTTTTCAGTTAAATCCAGATGTGAATGTTTTCCAGAGGAAATTTGTGAATGAAGTTAGAAGATGTGAAGAAATGGATCGAAAGCTTCGTATGTACATTTTGGTCATATATGATGTTCCTATAATGAATCATTTGTCTTAAGATTAGGGACATTAATCCTCATAATAAAGGAAGAAAATACTGCAGAAGAAAAAAAAAGAGAGAAAAAAAGCTTGTGATCGTGATGTTAAGATGAATTTCTTGTATACAAATAGATTTTGTGGTGCTTGGGCTGGGAAGTGCTTCATGGAAACCTTGTTTGAAACAAAAGGCTGTAAGCTGAAGACACTGTGGTTATTTTTTTGTGGAATTTTTATAGCAGAACTACATTATAGAATTCTTAATGATAGGACCCAGAACACCATCGGTTTTAGATATTAGCAGAGTCACTTTTAATTTGAAATATTTATGAGGGAGGAAACTAACATTCATTAAAGTCCTGTTGAGAAACTTATGTTGAGTGAAATAAGCAAAGCACAGATGGACAAATACCACATGTCCTCACTCATAAGTGGGAGCTAAGAGAGAAAGGAGGAAGGAAAGAAAGACCACAGTGGTGCATTGGACTTGCAGAGGGAGAGAACATTCCTTGGAAACAAAGTGGAGTGGGGAGGAAGGGAAAGGGTGAGGAGGATTGGGGATAATAGGGTGGGGAACACGGGGTACAATTGCAATTTGTAGTAATGGGCATGCTGCCAGTATGGATCTGGCCTTCACATCTTGGGCATGATGGGTGACGATCAGCTTTGTATCTCATGAATATTAATCAGTTAAAAAAAAGAAGTCCCATTGAGAGCTAAGGTGCTCATATACCTTATTTCATTCATTCCCCACAACATTCCTTCAAGGTGTGTGTTACCTCATTTAATAATTGAAGAAACTGAAGATCAGAGGGGGTTAGCAGCTTGCCCAAGAACATACGCAGTCATGACAGAATCAGTATTTGAAGCCATGTTGTTCTGTTGGCTCCAAAACCCCTGATCTTGCCACTCTTTCGTGACCTTGCTAGCTCACAGTTAGCTCATAGGTGAATTTGGTCCCCACACTACAAAAATTCAGTAGCTGTCACCTTAAACACATTTCTCTTCTGGTGTTTTGGGTCCTTACTATACATTTTGCTATTTTATGTTCATTTTTAAAACTTAAAACTGGCTTGGTTGTTTTCAAACTTAATAAGCCCTTTTTGGTCTGGAGTTGTCTCACTAGTGTGTTATGTGTCAAATACGAGGATACTTCAAAAAGTTTGTGGAAAAATGGAATTAAAAGATAATACAGGCTGGCAATTGGCCGAGTGGGTAGAGTGCAGTGTTATAACACCAAGGTCAAGGGTTCCGATGCCCATTATTGGCCAGCTGGAAAAAAAAATACAAATCCTTCCATGAACACTTTTTGAAGACCCCTTGTATTCTTCTTCTGTAGCTCTGCTTTGCTGACACTATCTGTAACCAGACCATCACACTTTGGGGTAGCCGTTGCATAGGGTGGAGAGTTGAAGCAGATGAAGGCCAGTTTTAAGACCAGAAGAGGGAAAGAAGACTCTCTTTGGATTAGCTTTAGAGAATGTGAGGCAGGAGAAAGAGGGATGTGGAGAAAAAGGGTGCTTCTTTTATGGAAAAGTATCTCTCTTAGAATGAAACTCTTTGTAGCCAGGCTTTGGATCTTATTTTTTTCCCCCTCAAATAATGGCAATTCCAGGCATGTGCAGCTAGACATGAATGTTTCAATTTTATCATTTTAGGATTTGTTGAGAAAGAGATAAGAAAAGCTAACATCCCAATTATGGACACTGGTGAAAACCCAGAGGTGCCCTTCCCCCGGGACATGATTGACTTAGAGGTAAAGAATTGTTCTGAGACAGACAGATAAATTCTTTTTACTTCAATGCAGAAGGTACTCTCCTGCGTGGATGGAGAATAATTCTTGCTAACCTTGTCAGTATTGTCTATTGATTATAAATTTCTTGTAGGTGGGATTGAAGCAAATCCCTTTTTTATGGTATCAAACAGTATCTCCAACAGTATCATATGCCACTAAATAAATGTTTATTGTTTTATTAAAACCTTACTGGATTAATGTCAATTTATCTAGTAGCTTATTAATCTAATAGACTAAATAAACAGCTAATGGGCTTTTCAATAATTATTTTATCCATCTGAAATCCCCCGAGAAATTTATCGAGTGTACAATAGAATCTATAGACAAAGAAAGTTAATTCTGGTAAAAATCACAATATTTGTTGCGTAGGTGTAAGATATCTTTGAACTGTCGGCATGTCAACAGTTCTGTGGGATGGACTTTTTTAATGTCTTTCAGAGCACGCATATCGAGCTTAGTTTGAGTTCATGGTTTTCTTTTTTCCCTCTAGGCCAATTTTGAGAAGATTGAAAATGAACTGAAGGAAATCAACACAAACCAGGAAGCTCTGAAGAGAAACTTCCTGGAACTGACTGAATTAAAATTTATACTTCGCAAAACTCAGCAATTTTTTGATGAGGTCAGACTATTGTTTCTTTTAGTATTTGAACAGCTGATATTACACTTGCACAAGTGGTCCATATTTTTATTCCAATAATTATTTTAATTTGCTAGTTTGGAAGCAATACCATTTTTGCACCCTGCTTTAGTTGAAGAAATTTCAGATTGTGTTCCATTTTTCATGCAGTACACAGCCAGCCATGGTTTTGTATATTTTCACATTTTCTGCAGTTTTTCATCCCAAGATGGGGAAAGGAACCCTAAAGTAGTTGTGTAAACATAGTTAGTTGAAATTTTTACATTATACTTATGCGTTGTAAGGTAAGTATATGCTTAAGGTTAAATCTGAAGAAACAAACATTTGGTTATACACAAAATTATAACAAATATTTAATCTCCAAATCTTTTGTCATCAAATTTTTATTTTTATTTTATTCTCTGTTTGCTCATCAACTGTTGAGTACATTTTTCAGTAATTTGGATGGCACATTACACTCATTTTTCCAAGAGTTTTTATTGTATGGAAATACTGGTAGGATGCTTGTTTGAAACTTCTGGATTTTCACATAAACTCAACTGCATTAACCTTATAGGGAAAAAATGTTAATAGGTTCCTGGGTTAAAAATGTAGATAACAGGGCCGACCGGTTCCCGCTCACTGGCTGAGTGCGGTGCGGGCGCAGCACCGAGGGTTGTGATCCCGTTACCGGTCAGTAAAAAAGACAAAAAGGGAAAAAAAAAAAAAATGTAGATAACAGGCTGGCCGATTAGCTCAATTGATTAGAGCGCCACCTTGTAACGCCAAGGTCAAAAGTTCGTGTCTCTGTACTGGCCAGCTGCCAAAAACAAAACAAAAAACAACAACAAAAAAATGGAGGTTACTAAATTGCCAGGTGACAGCTTGCTGAGGTGAGGAAAGGATTTCGAGCAAGGCTCACAGAAGGCTTCCTTCTCCTAATTAAACCTGGGGAGGAGTCTTTCGACCTGGGCATGCTTTTTCTGATGGCCTACAGTATGGGTAACTTTTTGAAGGTGTCCTTGCCACCAGATTAACAGCGTTAGATACTTCAGAAATTGTCTCAGTCACTGTTCAGTTTGCCTTCCCATAAAGTTCTTTATTTCCTTTGCTCAACAAAAAAACTTGGCAAAGCTTTTAAATACAGAGGGCCCATTTTAGTTAGCATCACATATGTTCTCAGTTTTACTTTTAATTTCTGTCTTTTGAAGAGAGACCAATTCTCTGTAGTTCTCTAAACTGGAGCAGGGGTTCTCTGAGCAGCAGTAGCAGCACCCTCACCTCGGATCTTGTCAGAAGTGCAAATGATCAGTCCCTACCCCTAGACCTGCTGAATCGGAAACTCTGGGTGTGGATCCCAGCAATCTGTTGTAACAAGGTGATTCTGAGGCATGCCAGTTTGAAAACCACTGGGCTAGAGAAAGTCTGCTGAGGATGTGACACATTCCTCAGTAACTAAGGGTTGACTCAGAGAAGCCATGCTAATTAAAAAGATCTGCTGGGGCGAGGGAAAGGAGAAAAACTCACATGAATTTAATTGCCTGGTCCTCCCAAGAGCCAGAAACTGGTTATACATCAAGAGAGGTTTGGTGTGACTCTTCAGCTTGCTCACTAAGTTAAGACTTTTGAGACTGGCTACTGCCTCTTTCACCGGTCCCCAACATCATTGCATTAGAGAATGTGGGACAGTGTGATTCTTTCCAGGTGTTTAAGGTCTTCTGCAACAGGCATGACCACTTATGCCACATGGTTTTAATAAACAAATAATCTGGAATTCCATTATGCTCACTGCCTAAATGTTATTATGTTTTTATTCATTAATTTACTGAGCATATAATGAGCACCTACTGTTTGTGAAGCACAAGATGAGTAAGACATGGTCCCTGTGTTCAAGGAAGGTATCATTTAGTCATGTCAGGAAGCATCCCTGAGCATGAGCCTCCATGTGCTCACAGATGTGTGCTTTTCTAAACGTGTCCAAGCTGCTGCCCACAGATCCAGTGTAAACCTGGCCTCATGGTCAAAGCTCAGCTACTTTTAGCATCATTTGGAACTTAGTTCTTTCATCCCTCATTTTTCCCCGTTTTGATATACCCTTTAGTTTACTACTGAGATGTTGCTGTGATATATGAAAATGTCTTTCATGACCTCTGGTTCATTTCAGGAGAAATTCTGAATAAAGATTGACAAGTAGACTCCCTTAATGGGAATAGTTATTTATACTACTATTTTGCTTAACAAAAAAACTTTAATTTTCTAATTAAAAAAAGACATAGTGTGCCGGCCCGTGGCTCACTCGGGAGAGTGTGGTGCTGATAACACCAAGGCCACGGGTTCGGATCCCATATAGGAATGGCCGATTGGCTCACTGGGTGAGTGTGGTGCTGACAACACCAAGTCAAGGGTTAAGATCCCCTTATTGGTCATCTTAAAAAAAAAAAAAAGACATAGTAAAATAAAATAAGAGGAACAACTTGGAAAGATGATAAAAGATTTTAAAATCGTAAGTTATGGATTTAGGAGTTTTATTTTGTGATTAATAAGTCTACATATTAAATGCCCATCCTGAAAAGGCAGACTTTGAGTCTCATGACCTTCGTGCCCTATCCACGGTGGGTCGTGTTTCCCCTCCTAGTTATACAAGACTGTTTTCAGTCTCTGGAGGTACTCTGAGCACGAGGCGTTGGTAGTGAGCGGCCCTCCCGCTGCACCTTGGCGGCAGTGCAGCCAGTCTTCTGGCAAGGGCTGCTCTGCTTTTTCTCTTGAGTTCAGTCGGTACCTTGCCCGTTCCTGACACTAGCTTGTAGCCTCAGCCAGGTCCCTTTCCATAGACCTTGCCCTGCTGCTGCCACCAATCAGTAGTCTCAGGTGTCACTGCCATGACCAGAAACAAGACCTCACAGAGAGATCACATCTATGCATGCAAATGAGTGCTTTAAATAACATAAAAGATGAGGAAACTTGGGACCCTCAAATGTTGGAAACTTAGGATATTTTATGAGGTTTTCTTCCATGCCTAAAATTGTAATGTTTGCAAATGGCCTAAAACACTACCATTTTTTGGGCCGGCCCGGTGGCGCACTGGAGAGTGTGCCGCTTGGGAGTGCGGCGGCGCTCCCGCCGAGGGGTTGGATCCCATGTGGAGACCGGTTCCCGCTCACTGGCTGAGCGCGGTGTGGGCGCAACACTGAGGGTTGCGATCCCGTTGCCGGTCCCCGGTACGGGCGCGACACCGTGGGTTGCGATCCTGTTACCGGTAACGAAAAAAGACAAAAAGGAAAAAAATAAATAAATAAAAAATAAAACACTACCATTTTTATTTTATTTTTTTTATTTTTATTTATTTATTTATTTTTTTGTCTTTTGTCTTTTTCCGTGTCCGGCAACGGATCGCAACCCTCAGTGTTGCCCCCATACCGGACCGGGGACCGGCAACGGGATTGCAACCCTCGGTGCTGCTCCCGCGCCTCGCTCAGCCAGTGAGCGGGAACCGGTCTGTATGTGGGATCCGAACCCTCGGGCGGGAGCGCCGCCGCGCTTCCCAAGCGCTGCACTATCCAGTGCGCCACCGGGCCGGCCCAAAACACTACCATTTTTAAACCCCTCTTCTTTGTAATAATTTGATGAATATGATCAATACTTCATAGTAATGAGTTAGCAGTAAATGGCTAATTAGAAAATAAATCTTTCACTATCTAGGCATACGGGTTATGATTGGCAGCTGTGGAGAAGGGGAAAAGTAAACATATATTGAATATATACATATATTACAAATTCGACTTAGCCATTTCTTATCCAGAGCATTTAAAATAACTTGTTAATGATTATCCTTTTCTTAGTCTTCTTGTTTATGAAGAACTGTTAGAGCTGGAGAGATTTCTCTGCATCTTTTACCATAAGCACGATAACATATGAGAACGTAAAGAAGACTGGAAAAGTAATGGTTAATGGCATGCAGATCCCTGTCCTTTCCTCCTAAGTTTTCCATCCATCTGCTTTCTTTATTTTCTTTCCCATCTGCCATCTCCTTTGGGGCTTGGTACCTTACACAATGAAATGTAATTTCTTCCTCAATGTAGATGGAAGTAAAAGTGTTTGCTCTTGGTAATTGATGTAGCTTGAACTGGATGTGTTGCTTATACTTAAATGGCTGCAGAAACAGAACTGAAGTTCTGCTCCTTTCTTTTTGTAAGGCATGGTTTTCAGTTCTCCGAATGGGGAGAGTGGTAAGCCACAGAGCAGAGCAGGTAATTTAGAGGAACATTGGCAGTGTTATTATTGTTATTAGACCCAGATACTCTACGATTAAGATTTAGATACTTAACAGTGTTGTTTTAAATATTGCTTTAAAGGCCCTCAGTTAGTGATTCCGGTCATCCTACTCTCCTACTAGGCATGATTTTATTTAAAAGATTTTAACTTTCCTCTCTAAGACTTAGGATTCTTAAGTATGAGGTAGTGAAATTAGTAATTAGAATGTTATTCCAAGTCTCTGTTTAACTTTAGTTCTGCAGTTTTGATTCTCAGAGGGCCCCTGATACGGTCTTTGGAGTGGTCTAGTTGCTAAGCACCGTCTGCTGTTCCGTCAGTTGTCCTAAGACTTAGGATTCTTAAGTATGAGGTAGTGAAATTAGTAATTAGAATGTTATTCCAAGTTTCTGTTTAACTTTAGTTCTGCAGTTTTGATTCTCAGAGGGTCCCTGATACAGTCTTTGGAGTGGTCTAGTTGCTAAGCACCGTCTGCTGTTCCGTCAGTTGTCCCTTTTAGATAACGTTTGCACTGAGTTTGATTTTTAGGGTTTACTCAAACCGGGTCTTGTGAACCCATGCAGGCAAGTAGGAGGGAGTCTTGTGAGCAGGAAGTCAAATAAGTTTCACTGGTTTTTGCCAATAGATATCCCAAGAACAAATTGAAATGTCATTTGGATCCTCAAAAACAAGTTGCTTGTGGCCAGCTGATTTGATTTCAAGTAGAAACAAAAAGAACTCCCTAAACTTCCATGTGACAGCAAGTGGTCACTGGTGTTCCCATTATCTCATCTTAATCTTCCCAGTCTCGTGACAGTATTTCTCTAACCTTCTGGTGTACCCAGTGCCTGCACCTCCTTTTCTTCTTTGTTTTTTGATTGTTTTTTATTTTGTTTTTTGATCCGTTTGTCCTTATTTCCCAAAACAATTGCTTTCACTTTATTAATAAGGCAGTCAGATTTATCATCTGGTTTATACTGTTTTCCCCCCTCTTTGTTACATTGTGGTCCTATGACTTTATCGGGTGAGGTTCCCACGTGACATATTTTGACAGAGTGGTTGACGGGAGTAGAATAAATGAAATGAAATGAAAATGATAGAGAAAAATTCTCCAGACATTTTGTTTTGTTTTGCTTTTGAAAAGGAAGACTATTCTGGCTTACATCTAGTCTTTGGTCAAACAAATAGCTCATGGATTATTAAAGATGGGGAGAGCAGGCAGTGGAGAAGTTGGTTGGATTTTATTTTTCGGGTAGCTTCTCCTTTATGACGGGAGTGAAGGGTGGTAGGGTGAATTAGGTAGAGAGAGGCTAGGAAATTAGACCTGTGTCTGGGAAAATCCTTCTCCTCCTTCATTTCATTGTATAAACTGTCATGGTGGAAATCATTTTGAATCTAACCAATTAAACCAGCCCACAAGCTCTACGTTGATTTATTATCTGTTGCTTTTTCTTCACTTGATTCTTGAGCTGTGTTTTCCAGAATCCTTCAACTGTAAAGCCTATATGAACTTAATATTCCTAGATTTGTAGTCGGCAAATAAGACATTCAGATATTTCACTTTTTCTCCCCTGCATGGAAGCCTCTAAGACTAAGGCTGGCCCAGCCATTATGTTTTCTTATCCTCTTGAAGGAAGAAATATTCTTTAAACCCATTGGTTTGGAGCATTTTATATGTGGCCATGCTGTTTTGCATTTTTGAGGGCCTGGAAAAGCTGGACATATGGAGAGGCCCCTCCTGTCTTTCACGATCACACTGGGTTGAAGACAGTGACAGTGCCTTGCTTCTTTCTTGGAAAGAGAGTCTCCATCTTTCACATTTTCACAAGGGGAAAATTCTACTGCCTGGAAATTAAATGTTGAGAGTATCTGCAGAGCTGCTTTGTTTTTGCTCAGAAGGGAGGACATTTCAGATTCCTACCCACATGCAAAGGTATTTCCTGGTACTTTCATGGTTTATTCAGGGAAACATAGGAGAGAAAATGGCTTCCACCAAATAACAGATTTATGCATGTCACCATCATTTAACGTTTTTCCTTTTGTTCCTTATTTCTAAAACCATGTTCCCAGATGCTTTACTGGGGCGTTTATGCTTTCTTCACCTTGCGTTTATTTCCTCTGTTCTCTTCCCCTATGCTTCTTGTCTTCTTTTTGTGGGTATGTCATATCTTTTGGTGTGGGTTTTTTTTTTTTTTTTTTTCATCTTTATTTTCTGAGCCTGTCTCCTCCTGGTTCCTCGTTCCCTGCATGCCACTAACTATTTTCATTAGATATTAATTGATTTGTGAATTCAGGCTGAATTGCATCATCAGCAGATGGCGGATCCAGACCTGTTGGAAGAGTCCTCATCCCTCCTGGAGCCAAGTGAGATAGGAAGAGGCACGCCTTTAAGACTTGGGTGAGTACCACTTCAACCTTTCCATACCCAGTGGGACCACGTTCACCTTTGCCGTTCAAAGAGCAGCAAGGCTGTGGATTCACTTCCTACAGGATGAGCTCTCTTCTGGCCTATTGAGAGGTATTCTTAAGTCTCTCTGGATTCAGTTCCTGAGTGGTTCTGTTAACCCTCTGCTGGGTCCAGAGGTGAGATCAGGAATAAGACTTGGCAGCCATTTTGACATAAGAACACATAATCTTATGTGTGTAGTCTTTGCCCCCTCCTCTCACTTTCCTTCTTTGTCTTTTTTTTTTTTTTTTTAATGTGATCGGTAAGGGGATCGTTACCCTTGGGTTGGTGTCGTCCGCACCGCGCTCAGCCAGCGAGCGCACCGGCCATCCCTATATAGGATCTGAACCCACGGCCTCAGCACTCCCAGTGCCACACTCTCCCGAGCATGCCACGGGGCCGGCCCTTCTTCTTTGTCTTAAAACCTCCCTGCCCATGACGTGGAATAGAGTTCCCAATCTGGCTCTTCTTCCCACAGCTTCGTGGCTGGTGTGATTAACCGGGAGCGCATCCCTACTTTTGAGCGCATGCTTTGGCGGGTGTGCCGGGGGAATGTATTCCTGCGACAGGCTGAAATCGAGAACCCCCTGGAGGATCCTGTGACTGTAAGACAAGGAAATTGCATCTTGTGGAGCAGGTCTTGTAAAGGGAGCCCAGAGCAATAACACAGCCTGGTGCCACCTGAATCTGGCCTTTCTGCAGAGGAGCCCTTGTGTTTATCCCTGCTTTGATCTGGGAATTCAAAGGACTGACGGCTCTTTTCCTCTAACTCCCGTCATGTGTATACATATGGTGTATACATGACATATATGTATTTTCAAGCTTAGCCTTGTAATGTTTTGATTGGAAATGTGTTTTTTCCGCTTATTTTAAACTTTAGCTTTATATGTATCCTGTTACTGATCTGGGACTAAAAGAAAATTTGCCTTTTGTGAGAATTAACTTAAATCAAGACACCTGGTTCCAAATTTGGTATTATTTATGCATAAAAAGAGAAGGAGAGATTTCCTAAACTGTGATCTTTATAAGCTGATGAAATTTTACTTGGTAAGGTTTTTTTGTCTACTTGTTTTTTGGGACAATCAGAAACTTAGTTTAAGAATGTATGAGTATATTATGCAAGATACGGTCATCTTCTCCAGCCAGGGCTTTGGAGAATAGGAACAGCTTACCATCTTGGCATTTGACAAAATGGGACAGAGTTCATAACCTAAACTTACATGAGTATGGAGAGTCCTGATTTCAGGGATTACGAGCAAAAAAGATTAAATACACTGCAAAAATTTTACTTCACCTTTATATTAGTGTTATTTAGAAACCTAGAGTTACTTTTTCTGTTCTAATCATGTTGTAAATTTCTTTTTTTTTTTTTTTTTCACTGGTAAGGGGATTGCAACCCTTGGCATGGTGTTGTCTGCACCACGCTCAGCCAGTGAGCAAACCGGCCATCCCTATATAGGATCTGAACCCGCAGGCTCGGCGCTACCAGCGCCACACTCTCCCGAGTGAGCCATGGGGCCGGCCCTGTAAAGTTCTTAAATTAGTATTCTTTGCTCTACCTAAGAAGAGAGATTGTATTGTGAGACTTCTCGGATTGGTGGGTCATGCAGTTCTGTGGCTTTACTCTCTGTGCTGAGGAGGAGTGTCGTGACACTTAGGTTAAGGTGAACCCCCTAGCCTAGGGGTGCAGGTTTACAATCTGATCGAAGGCTGTCTTGGGTTGTGGAAGCATTGTAATCTGCAGTCACACCTAATGTGCAGCTGCTGTCAGGAATATTCAGTCAAATTTCTTCTTGGCAACAGAAAGATTATTTATCAACACATCCAGGAAAGGGAGGCCCAAATGGCTGTGACAGAGCAGCTGCACAAAAATGGCTGCAGTTTAGCCTAGAGAACTTAGGGACTTACGACTGTCGGGACTAATTTTATTCACTCCTCATCTCTTTTTATCTTTCTAAAGTTTTGTTTGTTTTTATGTTATAAAAACCATGTATGCTCTATAGGAATATGAAAAAATACAGGCAGTCAGAGACAATCTGGTTAACGCTCCATATGCCTTATTTTTCTCATCTTTCCTTCTAGTCCTTACATCAGACTCCAGGTGTAAACTTGGTGTTTGAAATGGATCACTTTCCTCCCTGCCCATAGAGTCTAAACTGGCATGAATTGTGAGATTCTATATCAGCATTCTTCCCAGTGACTCAATGGTTTGTAGTTAGTCAGCCACCTCTATCTGGGGATTTCCAAGTCCCAGAATAGACAGGAATGGCTTCCTTTTCTTTCCTCCCCTTTATACTTTTGTTATTCTGGCAGTGTAAGATTTAAAGTTGAATTGGGGGCTGGCTGGTTAGCTCAGTTGGTTAGAGCATGGCCTTATAACACCAAGGTCACGGGTTTGGATCCCCATAGTGGCCAGCCACCGAAACACAAAATAATAATAAAGTTGAATTGGTAAATAAGGCTAAATAGTGCTAAGAGGAACTCTTAGTTTGTCAAGCTCCTGATTGAATCTAAAAACAAATAGAGGAAGATTTTTGTGAATTAGAGATTATAGGGCAGATGGTCTTATAGTGAAGCTCAAGAAATGGAGTGAAAGTAGTGGTTAAAGTATAGGATTGCTGTATCCTTAATGGATTCCTGTTGTTCCTGTGTCACACAAGAAAAGTTAGTTATTTAAGAAATTTTCATTCAGGTTGAGAAGTCTGAAATCTTGGTTTTTGATTCTGGGACCTAGGGCGACTACGTGCACAAGTCTGTGTTTATCATTTTCTTCCAAGGTGATCAACTGAAAAATAGAGTCAAGAAAATCTGTGAAGGGTAAGAGTAACATGCCTCCACCTAGGAGGGCACAGCTGTGTGGCTTAACCGTTGAGCCGTAGAATTCAGAATAGTGAAACATGAATCTTTTCAGTGCACCTTGACACACTGACTATTTCTTTTTTTTTTTTTTTTTTTGTCTTTTGTCTTTTTTTCCGTGTCCGGCAACGGATCGCAACCCTCAGTGTTGCCCCCGTACCGGACCAGGGACCGGCAACGGGATTGCAAACCTCGGTGTTGCTCCCACGCCTCGCTCAGCCAGTGAGCGGGAGCCGGTCTGTATGTGGGATCCGAACCCTCGGGCGGGAGCGCTGCCGCGCTTCCCAAGCGGTGCACTATCCAGTGCGCCACCGGGCCGGCCCCACTGACTATTACTTTTAGTAATGTTAGGGCTGTTTTAAACAATTAGAAATAGCCTAAATTCATTTTTTAAAAGTACCATCAAAACCACGATATCCTTTCCCTGGGAAAAAGTAATTAGAACTCATGGTTTATAAGTGCCACATTATTCTGGGACAGTGGGTCTACATGTCCAGCATAGTGCCATAGGCACTGTATCCTTCAATTTTCTGAAATTCTGTCTTAGGGGCAGAGTTTTTCCCTGCCATTTTTCTCCAGCAGTTTACAATATTACTTGCTTTTCTTTTTTCTTTTTTTTTTTTTTCTTTAAAGATGACCAGTAAGGGGATCTTAACCCTTGACTTGGTGTTGTCAGCACCACGCTCACCCAGTGAGCTAACCGGCCATCCCTATATGGGATCTGAACCCGTGGCCTTGCTGTTATCAGCACCACACTCTCCCGAGTGAGCCACACTCTCCCGAGTGAGCCACGGGCTGG